CCCTGATATGATGCTCCATATTTGTCTACTTTTAAGCGAGCTACATTTTATAAACTTTTCAAAACCCTTAATTTTAAATTTAAAACTCGAGGAAAAAATAGTTTGCTTTTAGACAAAATGAAATTGTTTCGTCCTACGCCACAAAAAATAAAACGGTACAGAGAAGAAAAGCAAAAAATATATTATCTTGATGAGACTTGGATTAACGCAGGCCACACCAAATCAAAAGTATGTTTCGACATGCCGGTTTTATCATCCAGACAAGCCTTTTTGGATGAACTTTTAACTGGTTTTAAAAACACATCAGGTATGTGTGTAAAAACAGCTCATTATATGCCATATTGGAAGTGAAGAAGGCTTTGTCTCTAATGCACTTTATGTATTTAAGTTAAAAAATCCGGTGACTACCATGAAGAAATGTGTGGAGAATCGTTCAAAGAGTGGTTTTCAAACACCCTACCAAAATTAGAAGATAACTGCATTATTATTCGAGAAAGCTGGAAAAAATACCTACAACGACGTCTAAAAAAGGTGATTTTTAAAAATGGCTATAAGGGAAAAAAATTGAATTCGACTAACAAATGCTTAAGATCCAACTTCTAAAACTTGGTAAGCAACATAAACATTATGATAGGTATGTAATAGATGAAATGGTTAAGCAGCAAAACAACATAATATTGAATTAATCTAGGTTGACGTTAAACAATACGTAGCAGATAAAAACTCAACATTTAAATCTGGAGACATTAAAATTCTTTTTGAAGAAGTAATATTATTAATTTCTCCAGAAAAATGGAAAGAGTGTATCGACCATGTTCGCCAAAAAGTTGAAGTAAAAATGTTGGAGTTGGATAATATTATAGAGGTTCAGGTAGAACCACTTGTAATTTTGATTAATGAAGATAGCCCTTCAAGTCTAACTAATTTATCCGATTCAGAATAGTGCTAAGTCAAGTAAGGAAGATTACTATAATACAGGGTACAAGGTGTCTAATCTAAATACTAGTAGAACAAGAACAATGAAGAACAAAAGTTGTCAAAAATACAAAAGGTTTCTTTTTAAAATGCACAATTTTAAATCAAATACCAAATTCAAATACCAAATACCTCTTATATTTAAAGTTTTTTTAATGCTTTTAGTAGATATATATTAGCTATTAAAGAATTTTCAATTATTTGGACACCCTGTATAATATAATTTTATAATATGATTGTTTTAATGCTCTGTATCACAGTAGACATATATAATGAACTAAATATAATGCAAACATCTCTTTTAAAGTTTATACAGTTTATGTCGCTCACCTATCTTCGTCCAGAAATGTCACTAAAGTCTGGGAGACCGTGTATGGCATTTATTTTATAGTTTTGGTTTACAAAATATGTTTTTATCGTAATAAAAAAATAATTTCACAATTACACTCTTTCATTTTACATTTTTGCAAGACGGAAAAGTAAAATACGGCCCTGCTCAACTTTAGCGTCCACCTGCTTCTGTTTACATCAGGCGTAAATTAAATTTGAATAGACTTTAGTAACATTGCTAGTAAACAATAATCTCTTTAAAAAATACCATGTAAAATTATTGTAATCTGTATTAAAACGAGATTATTACATGACAATACTTTATTTTATAATGGACTTTTTGTAGGTCCATAATCTGAAATATGACACAGTCTAACTACAAAGCTTGCTTAAAGTTATAAAAGGGCCATATAAAAATAAAGGGCATCGAACATAAAAATTACATGATTGTTTTTTGCACGCCCTCGCCCAGTACCTTGTTGCCAGACTTTTTCATTAACCTGTATGTATAGGATCAGAAAATAGAGAGTTATTGCAAGTTCACTTAAGGTCAGTCACTAATAGTGCCGCTCTTATTTTGACATTTAAGCATGCGCAGATCGTTTATGTTCCTAACGTCTATTTATTGTGCTCTACAAATGAACCTGCTTCTGTGGCTAGTGAAGTAAGGTGAAGTGATAACGACAGCTGTTCAGTTCGTTCATGCTTGTTAATTTGTTGTGTGTTCTGTCAACCAATATAATTGCAACGTTGCCGGATTGTGATAAAATTAGTAGTTAATGGAAAATTGTGATTGCCCATACCGATCCATAAATATGCAACAAGAAAACGAAGCAACGACTTATCGTACCCATCCCATCGACCCATACCTGGCTACGCCGACCGGCATAGACTCCAACGGACTGGACACAGCTCAAATTGAATAATTGAAATGAAAAGTCTTAAATAAACACATTTATATTCTAGTTTTATCATCTGGCCTGCAGCTATTGAAAAAACAGCAACTCTCATTCCTGTTATGTAGGTTCTTTTACTATGATAACTCCACATTTATAGAAATAAAAATATCAGTTGTCATATTATTCATGAACAAAAAATAATATAGAACGGTATTACCATGAATATATTTATTTAGAACAAATAACAAAAAGCAATTGGCAACATCGCTAAAATTATTGAAACGGCCACTTCTGCGCGCGCTAAATCATTTGAAGGTCAATGCTGGGTTCATTTGTAGAGCACAAGAAATAGACGCTAATGTTTATGTACTATAACTGACTTTATTAAAGAGATTGTGCCTGTCCTTAATTGTGGATGTTTAGGGGCAGCAGGTAGTGGCGACTTTATAGCTTTCGAGTGCGCTCGCCGACATTCGTATCCTTTCAAAGTTTTTTAATATTAAATATTTAATATAATCGTCATCTAAACCTAAAATTTCAGGTTTGCAATAAGTCTGATTTTATTTGACTCTAATTACGATTGCCGCGTTAGAAAATCCACATCCGATGCATTTTTTACATCTCGAGCGTTTGTTTATCTACATCGGACACACTACGTCTGTTTATCTGAGATGTACCTGTCCAGATTACATTTTTTACGTCTCGATTTGAAATGAGATGCGAATGAGATGTTCGTTCCATGCCAGAAAGTAAGTGTTCTGTGAAGCCGTGTTTGTCAATTTATCCTTTGTTTATGCTAGCATCACATAAAAGAAAATCAAAGTATGTGGCTAGCATGAATATAAATGTGATTAGTTTGTTTAATTTTTGTTTAGATTTCAAATTTAGGTTGATTTGTAGTCTCAAAAGTCAAACTTAAACTTCTAACTTGTCATTGTCACTTTATCACGTGACCAATAAAGTCTAGAGCGTTTGTTTATTACATCTACATTCAGATCTAATTCTCTATCACGTGATAAAAAATTAACAACATCGTAGATGCATCCGATGTGGATATTCAAACGCGGCAGATGTCACGTTATAGAAATTTGAAATATATCTCTCTAATACCTTGTTGCGATACTTTTTCGCTACTCCTTATATAATTTTCAATTTATTTTCTGCAAATACACCCTAATGCGCAAGCGTTGTATTGCCGCTAAACATCGCACAGCTGTGCCAGTTTTTATTAGGTCGGCAGGATCGTGTAGCGTTCCAACGGCTGGGAGTTCAGTGATTAATAACATACCATTCCAGAATCGTTCCATAATAATGTTTTATTTTGAATAAACAAGCTTCACAACGATTTTGCAAATCGTAAAAAATGGTTGCTTTAGTTGCTGAAAATATGTTATCATCTTTTGTAGTAGTTCTCCAATATTTGCTGGTCGATCTTCTGACATACTGACTACAGCAATCTTACCTTTAGATCCGAACTGAGCGTTTTGGCCACCAGGCCATATCGGAGCGTGTAGGGCCTCCATTAGGTAGCGTCAGAAGGGTAGGGTCAGAAGGGTCTGATCGATTGATCTAAAAACCTTACGTTTCTGATATCGGAATCTTCGTTCACTCGTCCACAATAACAGAGAGTTGAAGTAATGCTATGAACGTAAACGTGTACGTGAAATATGACATCTGCGCATGCGTATTCAAATATCCTTCACGTCTACGTAAATACGTAAGTTTACGGGCTCTGGCGTATGTACGTAACGCAAACAAAATAACCTCTTTTTAATTAAGAAAGAAGAAATCCTAATAGTATTTGTCATTATCTGTCATGGTCACATACTTTGATTTTCTTGTCATGGTACGTAAGTGTCACGATGCGTTTAACAACTTCAACTCATATTTTGGGCATCAACGTAAACATTATTTTTCTGCGTTAACGTTTACGTTAATGTACTGGAAACACTTCAACTCTCTAACAAATCAGAACCGTTAACGTAATAATATTTTCTAATATTCAGTTTGTAAGCGCACTTAGTTATTATTAGTAAAAACTGTTCTTCGACGACTTAAGTACATTTGCTTTACAGCATTTCTTAACAATTGCTAACAATCGCTTTGTTAAACTCTTGTTTATATATTTTTTAGTCCTCCCATTTCCGTATGAGCCGAAATAAACACCGAAATAAAACCTTTCAAGGCCATTTTAATATGACAGCTACTGATAAAGTAGTCAAATATGACAAATTATTACGCAACCAATTTGACAGCACAGTTGTTTATTTTGGTCAGTCTTTTTGTGAAATATTAATTAAGCTTTTTGATTATGTTAAGTGACCAGATAACCTGTTGTTTGACGCGTACTGAAACTGCAGCATTTATAAAGTCATTTTTTTTTCGAGTTCCTCTTGTGCGTCTAGTCCAAATTTTGTCACACAAATAAAGGGTTGGGTATTAAACTAAACTATTTCGTCATTTCATGTTTATAAATTATTTATACAATCATTTTTTTCGACTTCTCTAGTGCGTCTAGTCGAAAATTTGTCACTCAAATAAAGTTTTGGGTATTGAACTAAATTGTTTCGTCATTTCATGTTCATACATTAATTTAAATTGGAAAAACAGATCGATATAATAAGTTTATTGCAATTTAAACTTACTCTAAAAACATTATTAATATCAAGTCAAAAAATAAAATTAATTTAATGTTTTTTCAATTAAATCAAGTTGCATGTCAGACTTTTAGCGACATCTGTCAAAAAAGATTTTGCTATTTAAAGAAATATTATTGATTGTATTATTTTATTGCAGAAACAATGGCATCTACGGTCGAACAGTGTGAGAGTAAATCTATAGGTCCACTCTCAAGCACGTTGGAAATGTTTGATACATTTAAAAACGCGCAGGACGATGATAAAGATTCTGACGAAGAAAGTTTTCACCTTCCACTGCTAGGCTGTGATGACGATATGGAGAATGGTGAGACAAGTAAAGTTTAATAATATTCACTAATCAATAAAATCAGTGGTTAAATTGTTCTTACGTCTAAATTAATGATTTCATGATCAGTTCAACTTAGTTCGTATTTGCAGACCATACAATTGAGTAATATTTTCTCGTCAGTAATATTTTGATATAAATAAAAATTTCCTTGGTTTATTCGGTCGTTTTTATTTTCTATTATTTAACACAGCACTACATATGTTTCGGAAAACTTTTCCCTCTTCGGGTGCAGTCAAAATTTAATAAAACATGGGGGCGATTACAAACAATTTAAAAAAATTTTTTTTCTTATTTTAAAAAAAAATTAAATTGTTTGTAATCGTCCCCACGTTTGATTAAATTTTGACTGCACCCGAAGATGGAAAAGTTTTCCGGAACATATGCAGTGCTGTGCTAAACAATATAAAATAAAAACGACCGAATAAACCAAGGAAATTCTTATTTATATAAAATTCTGCAAGGGTCAAAAAATTATTCTTTTGATATTTACGGACGTATTTTTAACCTCTAATTGTCCTTTATTTAAATATTTTTTTTAATTCATTTTCAACTTTTAGGTAAAGACCTTTCTTCCGGAAAAGATACTCCAATGGGTGAAACTGAAGATGATATTTTAAATAAATTTGAAACTCCGGTCACACCTGATTTAGATCCAAAACTAGAAGAGAAGATTTTAAATGAAGATGAAAACGTTATTAAAATTAATTGTAATGATACCAAAGTAATTGACAGTAGTGTTGATAAAAATGGAGCCAATGAAGATGCACAGAGTGAAAAAGGTTCTAGCTTAAATGACGACGGGTTCTTTCGTGATTTGGAATTGGTCGATGAAATTAATGACAGCAGTCATAACAGCGACGAAATAATAGAGAATTTAGAATCAGACAAAACAGAAAACAAAAGCAAGGAATTAGAAAATGAAGAACAAACTATCGAACAAGTTCAAAAAGATGAAAACTTGCAGACTGATGAAAATAAAGTAAATGCTGAAATAGTACATAATGACGATAATGAATTAGAAAATCCTAAAACTAATACATGCATGGCTGATAAATCTATTAATAATGAAGGTGACAAAATAGATCACAAAGATGAGATAATAGAAATCAATGAAATTGACGAAATGGAAACCAATAATGATAATAAAACAGTCAGTGACGATGATAAAATAGAAATCAGTGAAGACGAGAAAATAGAAAGCAATAAAGATGAGAAAATTGAAATTAATGAAGATGAGAAAATAGAAATAATTGAAGATGAGAAACTAGAAATCAGTAAAGATGAAAAAATAGAAATAATTGAAAGTGAGAAAATGGAAAGCAATGAAGATGATAAAATAGAAATCAGTAAAAATGAGAAAATGGAAAGCAATGAAGATGAGAAAATAGAAATCAGTAACGATGAGAAAATGGAAAGCAATGAAGATGAGAAAATAAAAATCAATGAAGATGAGAAAATAGAAATCAATGAAGATGAGAAAATGGAAATCAATGAAGATGAGAAAATAAAAATCAATGAAGATGAGAAAATAGAAATCAATGAAGATGAGAAAATGGAAATTATTGATGATGAGAAAATGGAAGTCACTGAGGATGAGAAAATTGAAATAAATGAAGAGGAGAAAATAAAAACCAGTGAAGATGAGAAAATAGAATTCAATGAAGATGAGAAAATAGAAATCAATGGAGATAAGGAAATAGAAATCAATGAAAATGAGAAAATAGAAAGCAATGAAGATGAAAAAATTCAAATCAATGAAGATGAAAAAATAGAAATCATCGAAGATGAGAAAATAGAAATCATCGAAGACGAGGATAAAGAAATTAAAGATGAGAAAATAGGAAATAATGATTCTGAGAAAATAGAAGATAATAATTCTGAGAAACTAGCAAACAATGATTCTGAGAAAATAGAAGATAATTCTGAAAAAATAGAAAACAATGGTTCTGAGAAAACAGAAAACCAGGAATCTGAGAAAATAAAAGATAGAGATGAAAAAATAGAAAACAAAGAAGAAAATGTGAAATTTCAGTCAAATAGCGGTATTTTAGAAGAAATTGAACAGGATAAAAGTACAAATAAAATTGGGTGCAATGATATAAATTTAGTTAATAATACTAGTCAAGAAGAACTGTTACTCAATAAACAAGATGATGCAAATCAGGATCAGTCTAAAAATAATATTGAAGATCATAATGAAACAAAAAATGAAAATAGTCGAGAACCTTCTAAAGAATCTGTCAGTGTAAAAGATGTAGTGAATGAAACAGAGAACAAAGTTGTAGAAGAAGCCACTCAGGTAGATTCCGCAAATGTAGATGGCGATTGCAAAACAACGATTGCTGAAGTTTCTACAGAAAAGGGAGGGGATGAAATTGCAATGGACCTTGACTTACCGGAAAATATTGAAATAATTCATGAAAACGAATCTAAAGAAAAATTAGATACTGTGGATAGTAATAAAGAGACTGACGAAAAGGATAATCAGACAGAGAAAACTCAGACTGAATCAGATGAAAAAGACTTTGAATGTGATAATTTACTAGACATATCTGTAATACGCGATGTGGATGAAGATAACGCTTGTGCCATAGCGGAAACAACTGAAACTCATTCTAGTGAAAAATCAGATATTGATGAACAAGAAGACAAACAAGAAACTGAAGCTGATGACATGGAACTAGAACAAGAAGACACTCAAACGTCTACTGAAAGAGATGAACCAATGGAGTTTGATGACAATACAAATTCTTGTGATCAAGATACTTCTACAACTGATAATTTGATTAGTGAACCTGTTAGTGAAGGTGAAAATAAGGAGAACGAACCTGTAGAAAATGTGCCTAACACTAACAGATTATCGGTTGATGATGTAACAGAAATTGATAGTAACCAAAGTGTTACCGAAATACAAAATGAAAAAATTCCAGATGTGTCTGAGAAGCCTTCAGACAGCAATGACTCTGCCAAGCCTGTAGAAGACGTAGCAACAAGCAAACCTCAGAAAGAAGAAGTTCCTATTAAACCTAATGAAGAAACGTCTGGTAAGTTCTATTTTGTAGATTAAAACGAAAATATAATTTTTTAATTTGTGATTTAGTAGCCATCTAATTTTTTGCTTACAATTACATTTCAGATACAACCGTTTGTTAGTATATGAATGGCTAAAAATCAACTTTTTCTCCTACAATTTTTTCCCAGAAATTTTTAGACGAACTGTTTTTGAGATGGCCGGTCTTGATATATCGCCCTATATACTATACTTAAAAAAAATTCATAAATTCTAGTAGTTCCTACCTTATCGAGAATACAAATAAAATTCTTTAAAATACTTAAGAATGGCAGCAATTAGACATTCCAACGACCTGTCCAAATGGCTACCAGTGGGATCTGATAGTTTATATATGGCAACCCTGTTGGCATGTTGTTATTAAAAGGATCAATGATACATATATAGTTATATAGATTGCTCAAAGCTGGTCGTTTGCGAGCGGCCATATTGCCTAGCAAATGTTCATTAATTTGAATCGGTTTAGCAAAAATGTGTTTTAAAACCAATTTTCAGCGTTTGAATATTTAAAAAAGTAATTACCTACATTTTTACTTTAAGACATAAGCTTATGTTTATTTTTAAAGCCATGGATGATCAATTTATATAACTGTCTATATCATTGACCCTATGAAACTACTAGGCTCACAGTGTTGCCATATTATAACCTGTCATGTGCCTGTCTGGCCCACATACTTTGATTACTATACGGGGCAAGAGAGAGGTCCGACACGCCCAACATAGGGCGCAGCCATTTTCATTCCTATGACACAGTTTATAGCTAAAGAATCAGATCGCTCACTCTGCGTCGGCACTTTTGATCTCAATGTTCCAGTTTATACACTGCGCAACTCGGATAATACAATATATGACAACCGCCTATAATAAAATAGCAGTCTTCTGCGTATCCTGAATTTGTATCCCTGGAGTGGATGTTATTTTGGAACTTTCAACTGATCCGAGTGAGCTAACTGATTCTTTAGCAATAAACTGTGGCTCCAAAAATAATATTCACTGACACTGACAGCAGCAAGCAAAATATCAGGTGCGTTTTAATCATCCGCTTCTGCTTCCGGAATTGTCGGTTTAGTCGTTTTAACCTGTCAGATTAGAACAAGAAAACCGACAATTCCGTAGCAGAAGCGGATGATTAAAACGCACCTATTAAAAATATTGCGCCAAGATGTAGGCAACACGTAATAAGGGTTCAAAATGGCGGAGTTTTCTATCTCCTTTGAAAAGGCACTCAGAAAGCTGCGCAGTGCGACCATTCTTCATATAGTAAAAGAAAATCAAAGTATGTGGTTCTGGCCTGTCATTTCAAATGGGCAGCCATTTTGTTTGGAATGCCTAATATAAAAAAGTCAGTGATTTGACAGTTGGACAAGCATGGCTTCCTAGTGGAATTAGTAACCGTTTCTAAAACTATATTGTCTTTTATGCCGTAGTGCATTTGAAGCGAAATGCATCGCATTTTAAATTCTGATATATAAAGTTAAACAAAATTATTTTGAAAATCAATAAGGTTCACGGCTGGAAAACTAAGTAAAGTAAAAACTGCATGTCTATCGTAGTTTTCGTTCGAGATTTATCGCGTCGGAGCACATACGCACGAACAAATAACCAGACGATATGTATTTTTTTTTTTTTTTTTGGAAAACTGTTAAAAAATGGGAATAAAAAAATGTATCTCCTTTTCGACAAAATTCAATTAGTTACGTATTTTTACCCAAAATTTTCCTTTTTTCATCATTTTAACACAAGTAAAATTTTAATAAATGAATTTGTTACATTTTGATTTGATACGCTTCGTGTACTCGATAAGTCTGAAACGAGCCTAATTTTACAAAAAGCTACGAAATCTCCGAGCAAATACTTCTCTAGAGAGTCTTCCCCTCTTCCCAGCGCTAAATTTTGTAGTCAACATTAGGAGGAAGCGGTATTCGTACTAACACATTTCATGCTTACACATGCGCAGATGATAATACGAGAATATCATGTGTTATGTGAGACGTTTCATTTCAATTTGAGCTGTGTCCAGGCCGTTGGAGTCTATGCCGGTGGGCGTAGCCAGGCATGGGTTAATAATTTTTGGTGGCGGCGAGTCCGCTACCTTACTAAAAGTCGTTGCTTCGTCTTATTTCTATATAATCACGGGCCGGCATGCGCATGGAATGTGTTACTACGAACACCGCTTTGTAACATTAGACGTTCCAAACAAAATGGTTGCCTGTACACATTGATATGGCAACCCTGTAGACATGGCGGATTTGACAGGATCAATGATAACATAGTTATATGGATTGCATTGAAGTAAAAATGTAGATAATTATTTTTGTATATATTTAAATGCTGAAAATTAGTTTTAAAACATGTTTGCTTAACCGATTCTAATTAATGAACAATTCCGAGGCAATATGGCCACTCGCAAACGACCTGCTTTGAGCATTCCATATAACTATTAGGTATTCCAACGACCTGTCAAAATGCTGCCAGTGGGAACTGACAGTTTAGATATGGCAACCCTATAGCATTGACCCTATCAAATCACCAGGCCCACAGTGTTGCCATATTATAACCTGTCAGTGACCTGTCATTTCAAACGGGCAGCTATTTTGTTTGTAATGCCTAATATATGTTTCATTGACCTTGACAAAGATAACAGGCCCACCGGGTTGCCACATCATAACTTACCCACGAGCAGCATTTTGACAGGTTGGAATAGTGAAAACGCAAGATACTATTAGGCATTCCAACAACCTGTCAAAATGCTGCCGGTGGGAACTGACAGTTTATATATGACAACTCTGTGGGCTTGTTTTCATTGACAGGGTGGGTCAATAATACATATATAGTTATATAGATTGCTCAAAGCGGATCGTTTGCGAGCGGCCATATTGCATGGCAAGTGCTCAATAATTTGAATCGGTTTAGCAAAAATGTGTTTTAAAACCAATTTCCAGCCTTTGAATGTATTAAAAAAATTAATAACCCACATTTTTACTATAAAGTATAAACTTTTGTTTATTTTTAAAAACATGCATAATTAATCTATATAACTATTTATATCATTGACTCTGTCAAATCACAGGCCCACATTGTTGCCATATCATAACCTATCATGTTCCTGTCATTACCCACGGGCAACCAGTTTGAAATGTTTAATAAAAAACAGGGCGCGAAAATAAATTTTAATCTGCACCACAATACGTCATGCGTGAACTCGTCGGCTAAGTATCATACCTCTGTAATTTTTTGTATCATGGTGAAATCGTGTTTAATGTGTAAAAAACCTTTTGAAAAGGCTTCTTCAAGATCATCATATCATAAAGTAAGTACAAACACAACCTAATATATCAGTGGCGTCGCATTTAAACAATATTAAATTTGCAATTAACATTCATCATTTTTTTTTTATTTTCTTGTCGAAAAACTAATATGAGGGAATAAAATCCAGCTAAGTTCTTCTTCATCAGTCTCGATGTATACAAAGAGTAAAGGTTAATTACTCATTGAGATAAATAACATGTGGCTTTATTTTAATATCACGTAATTCTAAAGTTTATTATTTTTTTAATGTATGTTTCCTTTTCTTGATATGGAAAAACGAAATATTGAGGTCCAAAATTTAGGAATTCCACGTTCTACATATTGTAATAATGAAGATTTTTATTACACACCTTAGGGATGGAAAATATTAAAGAAAAACGCAATTCCAGTAAATGTCCGCGAAATAAGTATAATCAATCCTATTACTCCCTTGCCATCTTTATCTGCCACAACAGCAAGTGAAGTAGAGAAACTTAAGTTTCTTTCAAAAAGGTTGGATTTCTGATTCCTTTCATTCGGTTTCGACCTTCTGAACCATCAGGATCACCAACAGGAGCACCAGGATCTAAAAGATAATTAAGATTTAAATTTTTTTAATCTGTATAAAAGGCAATGTCACTTTTTTTGTTGGCAATATTGATTGTTTATTATTGAAGTTTATATCGCTGTGCAAAAACAAAACAACTTAAAAAAAAATGTGGATTTTGAGTAATCCAGATCATTATGATGTAAAAATTCTACATTCTTGTTGGTGAAATAGTAGGATATTTGTCCCACTGTTTTCTTTAATTTTCCAAAAAGTATAAAACATTACAAAGACACTTTTAACAAACAGATATTTGCCTTTAATTAAACAAACAATTAGTAAATTCAATATTAAGATAACTTAAAGAAAAAACCAAGACCACTTCTGAAAATGTGTTTAATTTTTACTAGAACAATACAAGGACTTCTTATGAAATAATTATTAAAAAAAAGTTGACACATCAGACCTGGGCAGTAATTGTCTCGAAAGTGCTTGAAAAAGTGCTTCAAGCGTAATACTGCTTCGAGCATAGCACTTTTAAAATATTGTGCTCGGTAATTGAATTTTGAATGCTTGCAAGCACTGAAGGACTTAAAGCACAATTAAATTTTATGTTCTTGCTTATGAATTATTACTGTTTTTGTATTAAGTTTGTTGTTTTTCTTTTATATCCAAATTTCTTATAGTCCGAGGTCCCACTGCGAAAGTATTAATCACAAGATGTCTTTTTGAACACTACTCTTATTGATTGGTCACATTTTAGTCCAAGGTTCGAAAAACCATGCAAAAATAGCGATTATAGGAAATGTATTTTTTTTTTTTCGAATCTGTTTACATGTGTGTTTCGGGGTAATTCTACATAAGAAATCATAAAAATTTCTTTATATGGACATAGATCCGAAAATTCATAGTTTTAAGGTATAGAGTGTTAATTTTTTTTATTAAATCAGTTTTTTATTAAATCAGTTTTTTAATAAATCAGTTTTTTATAAATTTCATTAATACCCCTTACTTGATTTTGTTAAAATTGTGTAGTGATGTTTTTACGTTGTTTGGGACGCCACTAAACTTAATAATTTTCATCCAGTTGGGGCTTAATTTGCCCTTTATTAATTTAAACAACAATGCAAAATTTTAAC